AGAAATATGTTCATTATCAGGTTGATCCCAGATACCATCAACTCTATCACCATGTGTCTCTTATTTATCCCATTCCTTCATTTCAATTGCCACCATTCTTTTTCTGGCTGTCATTTACACTTGGATAACTTACTACAATTTCTGTACTTTCCTGTCTACTTCCAGATTCTTCCCATTCAGCCAATTCATCTTCCCCTAGTAACTCTCAGCCAGTTTTACTCAATCCTCAAAACCCTAGTGGATTTTCAAGACCATTTCCTTCCTTAATTCAAGGCTTCTACAACTCACCCATAATTTCCCCCTCAACTTTAGGCCTCCCTATTTCTCTTAATGAATTCTTTGTTGATGTCAGCCAGTTTATTTGTTAGGGAACTCCTTGCCCCATTGACCTTTGTTTCTCCTTATTTGTCATGCTCTTATTCCTTTTTAAAACATATCCATATTTTACTTGTCCTCTTACACAGTGTATCCCAAGGTATGGATAACATGACTTCAGGTAGTAAACAGTTTTAAAAAGCTTCTTAGATTAATAATTACATAGAAGTGTTTACATTAACCTGTATTCATTAAACGTAAAGCAGAGTTTCTCAAATAGGGTTCTGTGAAACACTAGGGTTCCACAAGAGGTCACCAGAGGTTCTGCAAGAGATGATGCAGAGTGTCCAAGTTGCCCGATTAGCAATTTTTTTTATAGATCTTTTAGTCCTTTAAAAAGGAATCATTATCATTGGGTTGAGTATTTTATCAGTTTTTGAAGCAGGATATGGGAGGACTGCCATGTTCATCTTCTTATGTATACAAGAAAGTATTTCTTAAGAAGCACCAAGAACAAGGACAGAAATTGTCTCATTTCAGTTGGAAATAAAATGGATGTAAACCTATATCATACTCTACCCAGAATTGAGTAACTGGGCAACAACAACAACAAAAGGAATAAATTTCACATTCAGGAAATACATTTAATTATTATTTTTAGTTCCAAAATAACAATTAAAATTGCAATGCATTTATAGCTTAGTAAAGTGATCATGAAACCAGTATATTATAATTTTATAATTATCTATATGCTATTAGGTAAAAAAATAATTTTTTTCAAAGTCTCATATAAAATTGTATCACAGGCCATAATTTTATTCATATTGCTTTGATATATAGTTTTACTTGCTTTACTATTCAACCTCATTAATACATTTTTATATTCAAAATAATATTAAAGTGAATTCATAACCTTTATTTAAATTAAACCTAATAAACCTACCTTTAGAAAAATTTGATCCCATTGTGGCTTAAACTAGTTACTTAACAAAAACAAATTATGTTTACCTTATAAGATTTTCAAATTTATGAAAAGGAAATAATGAAATTAATTTCAAGAAAGACAGTTAACTACTCTTTTTTTATTTTCAATAACAGTTGTCTAAAAAGTCATTTTTAGTTTTAAATAGGACTTGCATTTACCATACCTCAGTAGTATTGATACAACAGAAATCTGTTTTAAGACTTTGAGGCCCACTTGTATAAGATACAATAAAAACCAGTAGGATTTTTTTGAAAAAGAAAAACTGAAGTTTCTTTTA